CTAGGCATATAGCCCCCCTTAAGTAGAGAGAATATGGCTTTTATAGCCCCCCTTAAGTAGATAGCATTATTGGGGTTTGTATAGGGATAATGGAAAAGAAAATGGAAAGTACTATTTGGGGTTTAGGGTTTAGGGGTCCCCCTTAAGTAGATAGAATTTGGATTTGAGTAAATTATAGTAAGATCCCCATATACCCATATTCTATCTACTTCAGCGGGACTCTACACATATATATATATATTCAAGGGAAATTGGGGGCGTTCCCTTTTGAGGATTACCTCGGGTTATTTTGAGAAATACCCACCTGGTGGCCTTTCAAGAAATAGAGCGCGTGTGGACCTTAAGACACTGACGCTTGGAGGTAAAAAGAGCCAAGGACTTCATAAGGTTGATGTCAAGAGTATCTTGGGACTATCGGACTATGTCTTAAGGAGATTCTCGGGTAGTAGTTGCCAGTTGGGTATCCGGCTTCTACCAGGCTTTCCTTATAAAAGGGACATTAGGACTGCAGAGGGGCTATGTAAGGCTTACTTTGGGGAAGCTGCCCACCTGAAACTTCCTTAGAATGTAGGGTCCATGCAGCTTCTAACTTTTTCGCAGAGGAGGTTAAGAGCTTCACGGTTTTGGAGTTTACCGGGGTTTAGGGATTAGGGCTTAACAAAAGGCGTGATAAGGGGCTTCGGATTTTGTAGGGTCTGCGTGGCAGTCAAGTCTTTTTATGTGCTACGGGGGAGTGGGTGTTGATATGTAGGGTGCTGCTTGGGGTTTGTTGGGTCAGGGATTTGCGGCTTCCTCTTCTTCAGCGCCTTCCGCTTTCTACGTTATCCGTCAAGTAAAGAACTACAGAGCAGCAAGAAGGTAACACACAACTTTGGGGTTCAGGGTTCAGGGCGTTTAGGGCTTAGAGCTTAGGATTCAAGGATGTGGTTCAGGGTTTTGACCTTAGGTTGTATACCCTTCTTAAAGATGTGGGACCCCATGGGCGAGTGAGTATTTTTCCATCGTTTGATAAAGCTGCTTGACAAGTGAATGCTTGGACTTGAGATGCTGAACCCTACGCCTTGAATCCTAAACCCTAAGCCTGGGCCCTGGGGGGTTAAAGCCTACACCCCAAACACCACGTGGAAGACCTTAAACCCTAAAACGTGTGCAAGAAGCCTCGGAGGTATGGTCGGCTGCTAGTTGCAAGGCAGGGTTGCCGTCTATATCCGGATCACGCATCTCTTGCAGCGATCGCTCCACTTTCGCTACCGTATCTTTTCTGACCGCGTCTGGCAGCAGACCTCTGATATCGTCATCGCCGCAGTCATGGAAGTTGCCTTGTATCCCTAGGGATCCAAGTATACAAATAATACCTACATTGGGCCACAAAGTCTGTAAATAGTACCTACATTGGGCTATTTGGATCCCTAGGGTATGGCAAGGCTCATCAGCTCTGGGACCCTGCTCTTGAAGCCGTCCTCGAGGGTGGTGTCGAAAAGGAGCTTGAGCTTTAGGCTCGGGGAGCCCTACTTTGTGTGACCCTGGTGTCATTACTGGGTCAGGGAAGCTACGGTACGGTTATAATGGGCTGATTAAGGGTGTATACTATATCACCTAACTCCAGAGTCCCTCAAAGCAAGCCCTAGGTACCAAAGTGGAAGCACCAAATCGTGCCCTACACCTTAAGCCCCAAAGCCGAAACCTTTGCCCTAAACCGTACCCTCACCTCACATCCTTAGGGTTTAGGGTTTAGGAGACCCTAACCCCTGAACTCCAAAACCTGGTGAACTGTGAGCCCTATGGCGTGAGACTCTACGCCTATGAAGCCGATGAACGATAACTACATTGAACCCTAAAGCATGGAAATAGTATAGTCTCGCTTAAGTAGATAGAATATGGGGTATATGGGGATCTTATTACAATGCACCCAAAGCCATATTCTATCTACTCAAGAGGGACTATAGCTACATTTGACTTTTCGGAGCCTTTCTGTGGATGGATTGTGGATGGAGGACCTCTTGCACCGCCTTACATACCCCATACCAAGCACAGTAGTGGTGCAAGATCTCCCGTATCTTCAACCAGAAACCCAAAACTCCCAAACCCCCCAAGCCCAACACCCTAAACACTAAATGTCGTTTCCATCTCATTTTCCATGTTCTTTTCCAATAGATTCTCAACTATTGGGCTAACTCTTAAACCCTGAGCCCTACATCCAAAAACCCTAAACCCTAAGCCCTGAAGCCCTATACGCCTAAGCCCTAAACCCCTAAACTCCCCTAAACCCTAAGCCCTTTCTTGCATCCGGGCTCTGCTATTTACAGCCTAACCCCCTAAACCCCTCAAAACCTCTATAGTGCCCCTTAAGTGGATGGAATATGGCTTTGGGTATATTATAGTAAGATCCCCATATATCCCATATTCTATCTACTCAAGGGAACAATAAACCTGTGGGGCAGGGTCCGGCCTGTGCTCCACTCATAGCTTTGCGAAGGAGGGGGGAGGAACCCAGGGAGACGCTTGCGGACTGCTTTTGAGCCTATAGTTTAAAGGTTAGGGCTCATGGAATTACTTTTAGGACTTGGCCTAAAATACTGTTCCCAACATGTGGGATATATATGTATCTATAACTGTATGTACGTACACATATGTATATATTGATAGGGACCAGAGGGGTCCATGGTAGAATGAACTTTGGGAACAACCCTCTTTGTATTGTTAAGGGCCTTCTAGAGCGTGGCTTAGCCGAACTTATGGCACAAAGAGGGAAGACTACTTGTGTCATGGGCTGTAAGAAAATCAATCAACTATTAAGGGTCCTTGCAGAATATGGCCGACGATTCCTGTTGGGGGGGATTCCAAAGATCCATGATTCTTGGGGTTGGATTAGGGGAAGGGAAATCCAACAAGTGATAAAGTATGTTCTGTAAAACGGCTTGGTGACCTCCCCTTCCATGACTTCCTGCAGGAGATTGAGCATGGAACAGCATCAAACGGCGCCAGGCGCGAACATCCACCTACAAACTTACTGGCCGTTAGTGGGGAATAAGAAATAAGGGAATACAATATATGATATAGAGATTATAGTGCCTTGTTCCCCACTAAGAACCAAAAAGAAAACTCTCGCACATTTCTGCAATGCCATGTTATTGGGAAGTTCACGAAGAGGAAGCATACAAAAGGGGATGATGATCACTTGCAGGAACGTAAACCGTAATGCCGCAATGATGTTCAGGTCAATTACGCTTTGGACTGCGGAGAATGCGATGGCATCGTAGGAAGTCTCTGTCTTGCGGAAATGCCAGGGGATATCTGGGACCCTAAACCCTAAACTCAAAACCGGTGGGCCCGAGGGACTTTGCAAGATGCGGGAAGTATAAGAACATCAAAGGGTCTCTTGCAAAGAGTTTGAAATACGTTGCGGTCAAGGGAGTCAAATGAAGATAATTAAATTAGTACAGGGTTATGCTGTATAGGGGCAATGGAAAAATTAAACTACTGTTTAGTGTTTTAGCTCTAGGTTGGGTTATGCCCCCCGCCCACTAGCAGGCTACGATAGGATTAAGGACTCTATATGATATGTACTAAAAATATAGTCCAACTGTGAATGAGCGGGGGCTGTACTACAGGGGCCTAAATAAGTACCAATATCATGTTGAGGTCCAGTTGAGGTACCATATACCATAATTATACAAGGAATATGGAACCATAATATTGGTAATTAGTTAGGCCCGTAAATTACCCAAGTTAAAGGCATTGTTTTGAGAAGCTTCCAGGTCTAGCGCGGGCTTGGCTGCCGCCTCAGGCGCTCGAAAAGGCCTTGGCACTGTGATGTTAAAATGATTGCAATAGGGTGCTGGGGGATGTTATAATATGGTCGTATAAGGGATATTAAGGGAGAAGCGTTAACATACTGATATGTAACTATGGTTTGCGTCCACCTTACGAAGGGAGACAATTAGCAATGAGCCAAGCTTGTACATCTACGTGGCACTTAGGACCCCTACTAACGGTTAAACCTTAGGTACCTATGATAGGAATATAAGGGTATCCCAAAGGGTAAAGGGTCTAAAGTCCAAGCTAAGTCGCAACGATTTTGCAGAGCCCAACAGAACTACAAGGTACTAAGCCCTAAACCCTATCATAGTAGTTTCAATTTTTCCATTATCCCTATATTATCCCTGAATAGCCCCAATAAGCTAAGTCCCAAGGCGACATACCGCACTTAACAGTCTTGGTGGCTCGCATGTTGGGCTTTGGGAGACTCTCATAGAAACTAAACCCCAAAACCCTAAACCCTAGGTTTAGGGGTTTAGGGTTCAGGAGTTAGGGGTTGGGGGTTTAGGGTTAGGTTTGGGGGTTTAGGTTTCAAGGTCGGCCTGGGCGGTTGCAATGGGCTTGCCTTGACCGAATGGGCGTGAACAACAAGCGTCCACATCGCAGCGGGCTCCATCACATGTGTCTCATACCCTATGGATCCAGAAATCCCCAAACAGGAGCTATTTATAGACTCTAGGTCCCAATGCTATATTGTTCATAGACTTCGAGCCCAGGGATAATAATATTTGCAACCTTGCAACTCTCCGTCTAGGGTCGCTGGCTGAATGTTGAAACCAAGAGGTCACGCAAAGGGTTTAGGCCAAAGCCTGTTTGCATGGCACTAGGGTCACAGAAGCCAAAATGGTGTAAGGCGTGACTGGCTAGTTCTTTAGGAGGGCAACTTTTCAGGTTGGTGTCCTGACACTAGGCTTTGCTGGGTTGCTGTTAAGGAATTTAACATAAGATACTCAAATAAGGAAACCCTATTAT